CCCCAAAACCCCAAAACCCCAAAACCCCAAAACCCCAAAATTAGGTAGAAGAGTTGATGCAAAAATTAAATTAAAATTTTAGAAGAAATACTAATATGAATTCGAACAATAAGAAAACTATTATTGAGGGATGGCTTAAGAAGGTCAAAGAGAAATCAAAGAGTAGTACTAATAAAAGGTGGTTTGGGTTGGATATAGTCAACGCTATTTTCACTTATTCAAATGGGAAATAATAAGAAAGCAAGCAAAACAATTCCTTTAAGGGATATTATAGATTTCGTTGAGCCTGAAGAAACAGGTAATAAAGACTGGTGATACAAATTCAGCGTGGTGACACGACAGAGGGAATATATTCTTTATTCCCAAACACGGACTGAGAAGGAAATGTGGGCTCATGCTTTTCGTACAATTCTTAAATATAAATATAAGTCTAAAACTGAAGATGAATCTAAAAAGGACTCTGGAACTTCCCACCCAAATCAAAGGCCAGACAGTGGTGGCATCCCGGCTGCCGGACTTCCCAACCAAGCCATTGAAGATCTTGGGTTTGATGAAGCAGAAGGGGAAGATTACGATGAAGAGGAAAAGGAAGGTCGCAGTCCTGATGAACATGATGAAGGAGACTTTATGCATGCTAGTATTGGTAAACCCCAATATAAGCCAGCTCCTCAAAGAAACCACCCCCCTCGTGAAGAAAGCCCTGAACAAGATAGGAATGAGGATGAAGAAGACACTGATTCTCCAAAGCCAAATCCAAGAGAAGACAAAGCTAAAATGGGAGAAAGAATGCGTAAAGAAATGCAAACCCAAGAGCAAGAATTCCGTCAAAAACTCAAACCAAACTCTCGTAAAACTAGAGAGGCCGAAGTTGTCGAAGATGAGGAAGACCATCCTCATTCTGAAGAAGAAAGGAGTCCTATACCAGCTCAAAATAATAGAAAAGAAGAACTTTCTCGTCCAAACAGGTCTCGCTCAAGAGATTCAGAATCTCCTAGAAGAGCTAATAACGATGCTGACCTTAACATCGACAATATAGTGAAGAGGACTAGGGGAACTAAGGAGACTATCAAGTTAGAAATGCCTTCTCCTAAGAAGGAAGAGGAAAAGGAATCTCTTCCTTACTTCAATGGTTTTCTCCCTAAGCCCAAGGAAATCTCAAAGACTTTGGAGAAACCACAAAAACCAAAGAAAGTTGTTAAAGTAAGCAAGATAGTCAAGAGGAATGATGAAGAGGACTTACTGACCAGATGGGAAAAATAAGTATGGCAAAACCCAAAAGCCTGTCATCAAAGATGAATGGGGTAGGAAAATTGAACAAGAGGGCCAACCTGAACAAGCTAAAGTTCCAGAACCCGTTCAGAACAAGCCTCAAAAGAGAGAATATGTTGAGAACGTCCTTGCTAACCAACCTCAGCATAATGGAGAAGATTTTGAGGATAACTGGGATGAAGAAGAGGGCTCCCCAGTCCGTGAAAATATTGACTCAACAAAATATCGTAAAATAAACAAAGAGAATAGTAAATATCGACACCCTGACATCCCAATGGACAAGATAACCAAGAAGAAGGGAAAGAAAAAGAGAGCAAAGGTAATCAACAAGAAGAAAGTGGCTATGCCTCCATCAGAAGCTTCTGGTGCACAAAAGGGTGACTTTGATTTGAACTGGGATGAGTAATTCTTCTTTCTGGTATTTGCTATTCAATAGCTTGCATTGCTGAAGGGGTTTTGGGGTTTTGGGGTTTTGGGGTTTTGGGGTTTTGGGG